CTCTGGGATGATTATGAAGTCAAATTCAAGATAAGTAATATGTTCAGCAAACTATTTTTATTATTAATAATTTTGTTTTTAGTGTGAGTTATTAGTTGATTTATTCCGCAATCACCGACCAAAAGCGATAAAAAGACTGAGAAGACTAGTTGAGAAAAGGAAAAAGAACAATCCAGAAAGGAACATGAGACCGAGCAGAATAAAGAATGATTTTCGGAAAGAAGATGACTAACTGATAAAGAGATTGATTGAGCGGTTGAAAGATTGCCTAAGGATCCCAGATTTAAAATTTTGCCTGCTCATCAATTCCACCTAACCAAAGAAGCCAAAAGAAAGAATGACCCACTTATTTTTAAGGAATTATTAACTGAACTAACTAATTTTAAAGGTGAGTTAGTTTTTATACCCGTTAATAATCCCAACTTCCATTGGAGTTTATTAGTATTTGAAGTTAAAACTAAGAAACTTTACCATTATGATACTTTGGGTGGAGCCAATTATCAATATGTGAAACCCTTAGTGAGGGAATTGTTGGAGCAGATTAGAGGAGTGAGGAATATTAAGGAGGAGTATTTAAGTAAATATTTTGTGCCGAAGCATGGGATTAGACAAAATAATGGCTCTGATTGCGGTATTGCTGTGATTGCTATTATGAGGAGGATTATTGAATTAAAGAATCAGAGTTGAACGGAGAGGTTGAAGTATGGTAAGTTTAGGTGTGGGGATGATTTGGGGGAGATTGATTTTTGCAGGGAGAGGAAAAGGTTAAGGGAGGAATATTTGAGAGCAAATGAGTAAATTTTATCTAAATAACATTCTTATTGCTATTACTTATTAGATAAGGGGAGAACCCTTTTTTTTACTAACTATTGCCCTTAGGAGGTGCTTCAAATTGAGATTGCAACCTTTTCTCTTGCTCGCAATTGATAACAAAATGCCTTTCACTATTATCTTGATTTGCTTTTTTTTGCTAATTCTGTCATAGGGGATTATTGTTTAGGAGGTTGTTCGATTTGGGATTGGAGGGAAGTTTCTCCTTTTTCCTCTAACTCAAACTCTTTTAATTGTTCTGGTAATTCCGAAACTTCCACTATTGTATCGGCAGAAATATCTGTATATTCCATAGCCTTGAAAATATTTTCTGATTGCTGAACAATCGTTTTAGCATCTATTAGTTTACTGTGATAAGTTGTGCCAGAGTAGATTTCATAATTAGGAAACCTAACTTCTTCTGGCAAAGTTTGGTTGTGAGTTTCGGCAATTTGCAACTGATGAAAGAACTCAGTATCTTTTTTTAACTCCCAACTATTTTCCTCAAATAATTCTCCTATAATCGCACTTATTTCACTCGCTGTCGGTCTTTTCAGTGGATCAGCATCTCAGCATTTTTTAACCAAGTCTTCTAATAGTTGAGGGATTTTAAATGGAAATTGGGGTCTGTATCCCCTACTACAGATTTTTAAGGCTAATTTTGAGTCGCTGGTCACATCATTGTAGTAAGGAAGCAAACCTGTAAGAACTTCATACATAATTATGCTAAAAGAATAAATGTCACCGGATGAAGCATAAGGTTCATTACTTAAAAAAACTTCAGGGGCTATTCACCTAAGTGTACCTACTATTTGATTTTCTTGTTTAGAGAAACTAATGTCCCTAGTTTTCGATAGTCCAAAGTCAGCTATTTTTACCTCACGGTTAGCAGTTAATAAGATATTTAAACTTTTTAAATCTCGATGTAGGATGTTTTTGTGATGAATATAAGCTAGTCCTTGTGCTATTTGTCTGATAATACCAATATTTAATTTTCAATCATATTCTTTACCTTTAATGCTGTCAATAAATTCTTTTAAATTACCACCTTCTGCGTATTCCATGATAATAAGAAGTTCTTGGTCATCAGAATAAGATCCATAATACCGAATAATACGACTGTCATTCAGTTTTTTGAGAATATTAATTTCATCACTTATTTCTTTTTTAGAAGCGTCGGACGAAATATTTAATTTCTTAACTGCTACATCTCGCGACTCCCATTTACCTTTATATACTTCTCCAAAACCACCTTTTCCTACTTTTTGTTCTAAGGTAGGCTTTTCGTGGGTATTATTTTCATTTTCAGACCTATCGCTTTCTCTATCTTTTTGAGTAGTTCAAACAATTTTTTCCCTTTCGCTGGTTCCTCCCTTGTTTTTTCTATAACAGTAGTAAACTACTCCCCCAATGACAACAACTCCTGCTGTAGATCCGGTTACACTTAAGATAATAGGCAAGTTGGAATTATTATTGGAAGAGGAAGTAGGAGAAACATTAACCGAACTATTAGAACTAGAATTATTATTGGTGGTTATAAAGGGATTAAGAGCAGCAGAACCTGGTCAATCAGCTTTTCATTGAAAATAACACTTAGGATAGTTTTGTGGAATACTGCCATTATTATCAGGTATTCCGCCAGCGAAACATGTTCATCCTCCATTATCTCAAGCACAGTTAAATCCCGAGCAAGCACTTTTATTACTACAAGTTAGTCTAGCATAACTCTTGTTTAGACCCTCAGGAGTAATAGTTAACAAACTGTTAGTTACCGAATCAAAATCATAAGAAGAGCAATTCCCCCAAGTACTATTTTTGGTGATTGAAGAGTTTCCTTCCACACCTCCGCAAAAAAAAGCAGTGTCTGTACAAAAAGCCTTTTCATTAATTCTGTTGCACAAAAGTAAGGATGCTGAGCATGCATTCACGGATGCAGATTCGCTAGGAACGCAATATTGTGATTGTGGTAGGCAACAAAATTTTTCTACTTCACTGTCTAGAAAACTATAACTATTTAGAGAAATAAGTCAATTACTTAAGTTATTATAATAACTATAGGAGGAACCCTAATAACTATTTACTGCACAATTTTCAAAAGCCTTTCCTGCTTCTGTTCCATTAACTGATAATCAGGTCATCAAGAATAAGGACGCTATTTTTTTCTTAGTCCAAGTAGTAGGGAGATTTAACTTATTATTATTTATTAGTTTTTCTTTCATATTCTTTATAAATTTATCCTGATTCCTTAGGAATAGTTAAAAAAGAAATTAAAGAAATGGACTGAAAAGCACTAAAACTTAGAAAAGAAAAAACACAGAAATGCTCCTTATTACTATCTAAAAAGTAATTACTGCGAGAATTAGAGACTAAAATTGCTCTCTTTTTCTCTCTCTGGCTTACACCATTCAAGGAATAATTTCTTTTCCATGTCATATATATTATTATTTTTTATGTTTCATGTAGAACTACATATAATTAATATAAAATTTAAGGCAATGATATAGCAAATAGCACCACCATATACTTATATTTTATCACTTTTTAAAAAGTTCAGCACTAAAAATTGCACTTTTCTTTATTTAGTTTTATTTATATAAAATAATCAGAATTCTTACGGTGCATATATTATATGGCCCTACCTTATAAAAAATCAAAAAACCTATTTGAATTCCTAAAAACAAATCCTACTGAAAAAAAATGTCAGATTATGAGAATAATAGAGCAAGTAGGCCGAATACTTAAACCCAGTGCTTTTTGTCTTTTATGAATAAATAAAGGTTTATTAGGAAGTGATAGAATTGCTAACTGGATGATTAAAGCCCCTAGTTTGAAAATAGTAGACTGTCTAGTTTGGTATAAAAAGAATACTTTAGGCTTAGGCACCTGACTAAGAAGTAATGCTGAATTCTGCTTTTTATTACAAAAATATCCTACTACGGGTAAAAGATTTGCTAATCGGGCTTTTGGAACTGTATGAGAAGAAAATAGTTTGCCTACTAAGCAGAGGAGGCATCCTCACCAAAAACCAAGAGAACTAATAAAAGCACTAATTACTGCTACTACCCAAGAAGGAGATTTAGTGATTGATCCTTGTGCTGGTTCCTTTATCGTTTTAGAAATTTGCCGAGAATTAAAAAGAGATTACTTGGGGTGTGATTTAACCTATCGGGAAGTTAGGGAGTTTTTAGAAAATTAAAAATTAATTTAATATATTTATATAACATTATAACTAACTAAATAAAATAATATATATGACTAGAACTCGAAAAACTGCTACTAAAGAATTACTAAAGGAAGAATCTCAAAATCTTAACTTTTATCCTGCTCCGGGAGTTCGTTATCCTCGCAAAAGTCTCCGGATTTTGCAATTTGCGACCAAAGTCTCGCTTGATTTTGACTCCCAAGTGAGAGAGATAGCTAATAAAGAAGGAATTTATATTGCTGAAGTATTAGAGAGATGTTTAGCCGCTTATTTATATTGCAAAGATAAAGGAATAAATGTTGATGATTATTGATGACATAGAGAGAGAGAGAGAGAGAGAGAGAGCAAAATTGGAGCAAACCTGCGAAAAAATAAGAAAAATACTACTTAGCCAGCATCAGAAGGAAAAAAATTCCTCTTAATTGTCTGTATGAGTACCAAAAAATGATATTGAATAGTTTTCTTGCTCGGTTTTTTTCTTATTGCTTGCTGGAAAATATGAGCCTGGGTTATTTGAAAAATTCTCAATTCAAAAAAAGATAAACAAGTCTTTAACTTGCTGGCTAAAAATCGTTTTCTGGAGATCACGGGACCTAGCCGAAAGGGCAAATCTTGATTATTGTGTCATTTATTTTTGAATTTAAAAGGAGTGAAATTTACTAATTTACCTACCCCACGAGGAACTTACACTCTAAAAAAGGAAGACTATATTACTCACATGACCCGTAATTGGCAGGCTCCTGCCCGCTATTACTACTTTTTGGATGACTTGCCTAAATTCCAAAAATGAGGTAAAAAAAATTTAGGCCGAGTAAATTATCACTCCTGAAAGGAATATTTAGCCGATTGCGGTAAATTGGGAGGAACTTGTGTCTGAACTAATAATGGTTTAGAAGCCGAACCTATTTACCAGGTAAGTAAAAATGAAAAATGAACTGTCAAAGGCTATATCTCTTTTTTTGACTATTCTTTATTATTAGTTTTAAAAGGTTGATGATTTACGCTAATTCCGATTGATAATAAAGAAATCGAAAGTTTTTACGACCCTCATTGAAATATTCCCAAAGACTGACAGAAAAATTGGCTAACCCAAATTAGCAATAAATTAAAGGGACAGGAACTAAAAAATATTTTGGATATTATTGGAGAAAAGAAAATTCGCCAAACTTATCAGTTAGAAACTGAGAACCGTCGCCTAATTCAGACTTATTTAAAGGAGCGGAGGAAAGAAGAAAAGGAAGTAAAGAAAGTGGCTAAAAAAGAGAAACAAGATAAAAAAGATTTAGTCAAATATGGAATTAAAAAGGAACCTTTAACTTGGGAAGATATTGCAAAAGGAACTAAAGAAAATTATGAGCCAAAAAAACGCAGCCAAATCTCAAAAAAATAACTGGTGAAAAACCTTATTGATAAGTTGAGTGGGAAAAACTATTTTATTATTTTTGCTTCTACTTCTCTTTCTTTTGTTGTCTCGTTCCCAGATTAATTGGTTGGTTAAAGTAAAAAAGATATTAACTTTTGTTCTTAATACTTTTCTTTTTGCTACTTTGGGAATACTAGCCGGAACGATTCTTTATTCTCTTTTGGCACGGCGAGGAGTAATAATTATTGACAATACTCCCGAATTTCTCAATTTTTGTAAAAATAGTAATGGCCTAGTTTTTTGAGGAGCCTTTGGGCAAGGTAAAACAGCTCTTATGGCCTTACTGGCCCAGGAACTACCTGGGGATAATAAATATGCTTCTTTCCCTTGTAATTTGCCTTGGGTGGAAAGATCACAAATCGATTTCTCGGCTGACCCTACCCAGCCTCTGGGAGTTAAAGAGATTATTTTCTTAGATGAGATAAATTTGTTATTTAAGGGCAATGAATTTCAGAAAGCCCGTGAACGAGAAAGATTTATGAGTCACTTTTACGCTCTTTCGCGACACCAAGGTACCCAAATATTTATCAATGGCCAGCGGTTAGGGCAAGTGTGAATAGAGTTGCGAGAGGTGGCAACCGCAATATGCCAAGTTAGTTTATTACAAAAGTCCGACGAAGGAATTTATGTGCAGGTAGAAATTTGGCAAGCGAGTGCCTGAAGTCAAGAAAAAACCGAACGAGAATTTACGGTTTTTATCCCAAAATTGATTTTAGATACTTATAATTCGGCTTGGTTAAATAGTCTAAAACATATACGGGCAGGGCAAGGTTATATCTAAAAATTATAATATTATGAACCAAAAAAATCCTAAAAAAGTTAATTGCTTCAAATGCTATAAGGACTTCCTTATTAGGTGAGTTATTCCAAAGCAAGATTATAGCCAGAAAAATAATTGAGGCTATTGGACAGAAAAAAAAGAAAATCAGGATAAATATATTTGTGATAATTGCCTCAAAGATTTATATCTAAATCACAAAGAACAATATTGAAAGTTGATAAAAGGTGATATGAAACGGCAAACTATACGAAATTATGTGTATAATAGGCAGATATAGTATTTTTTATTTAATTTATAATATTATGTAAAATTATAATTATTAAGAAAAAAGATAAGAGGAAGTAAGAGGGACAAACAACTCACTTCACTCTTATACTATAATTTTAGCAAAAAAAAAAAAAAAAAAAGATTATGTTAACATGTTAGATAGATAACTAAAAATAATTAATTATAATCTATGATTAAAAATCAAAAGGGACAATTAAATAAAAGGCAAGGTGAAATTTATAATTACTTTCGCCAACAGCTTTATCAGGAAAAGGAGTGGGAGAATTTAAAAGATTTATCTTCTAGCCAACGGAAGGGTTTGGTTGAAGTTCTTTATAAATCTCGCAAACTTACCAAAGATGAACATCAGCGAATATTAAAGCAAGCTAACCAAGCCTATCGGGAAGAAGTAACTGGCCAGTTGAGCCAATTACGATATTATAAAGAAAAAATCGGAGCCCGCAGCCTTAGTAAACAGGAATTAATTAAATCAGAAAGATTTAAATATTTTTTTCCGGAAAAGGGGGAGCATAAAGAATTTTGACGGAGGAAGAAAGAATTTACCCAAGAATGACGGCAAATTTTAGACAATGTTGGTAAAAGTCGGCGAATAAGGAGCAGGCAAGAATTATTAAGGATTTATAAAAATCTTTACCATAAGTCTCCTTGACGAATCCGTGATCGATTTCTCGTGCGGACCGAGCATAAGGGAACTAGTTTTAATATAGATGAAATTTGAGATAAATATTACCATAACAATCCTACTCCGCATACTCGTAAATATTATTTTAAGGCTTTACAAAAATTATTAAGAACCACTACCCAGCGAGGAGAAAGAGTACCGGATGAAGAAGTCGAGTTAGATCGGTATGGAAATCCGAAAGTTAAGGCCGGGCAGGTAATAGTATTGGATAGCGATAAACCGGGGCGGAGGTGGAGTGTTTATAAAAAGGTGCCTAGTTTACAGGAGATAGTGAAAAAAGAAGTGCATGATGAGGCCCAAGAGCAATATATCCTCACCGAAGGAACTTCCTTAGAAATCCAAACCTGAAAATTAAAAAAAGATAAGGCTTTGTGTTGGGTGGAGGCGATGGGGATGGGAGATTGTAAAAGTAATCAAGGGACTAGTAATTGGTGATGCTTATTTTGTTTGTTGTATGGGGAGTATCATCCTCCGGTGTTGCCTAAGCATTGTCCCTGGTTGTATACTTATCGACCGGGATTGTGTGGAAGTAAGCAACATAGTGACGCTAATAAACAATGGCACTTCTCGGTGGAAGGAGAACGAGTTAGAGATAAAATTAAAGGGGGGGATTGGGGGAGTTGTCATATAGGAGTATTTGAGAGAAAAAGAAGAATTAAAGGAAAATTAAGAAAAAAAAATTGAATATTGCCAGGTTAATAGGTTAAAAACATAATATAGTAAAAAAGGTAGAAATGGAAGATTACTCGCAAGATGTCATAGTATCAACTGAGAAAGGCTACTTAGTGCGGATAATAATCAAAATTAGTTATTTATCCGGTCCACCCCAGCCTGAATTTCCGGACAATTGTAAATTTAAATGGTTAGCCTGGCGATTGGGTTCACGGCCTAAAGATTATATATTGCTGGATAACCATAAGGGCAAGGGTCCGCACTGGCATGATAATGAAAAAGAAGAATTTTTTACTTGGGTTTCATTATCAGAAACGAAAAAATTGTTTTTTTTCATGGCTTACCAGAAGTTTGGTTATTTCGAATTAGACTAAAATAATTAATAATAATAGTATGAAAAAATTTACTTTTAAATACGATCCACAACATTCAGTAAGTAAAATGTTTGACGAAATGGAACAAGCAGTTAAAACTAAAACTAGGAGTATTCAGCCCAAAAATGTGGTTATTACTAACAATGTAGAGGTTATTTATCAGGCCTTAAATAAACCTCGCTTAGATTTATACTCTTATTTAGTAGCCAAGCAACCTAATTCAGTGGCTGAATTATCTAATTTACTAAAAAGGGAACCAGCCGAAGTAGTAGAGGACCTTAATATGCTAGTTGATTTAGGAATAGTTCGGTTGACAGCAGAATCTAAACCAATTGCTCTTTATGAAAAAGTGGTGATTGAATTTCCGGCCCTGATTGGTAAGGAACCAGTAGACAGGCAGCCGGTGGCAGTGGTTTAATAAGTTATTATCTCACCTTTTTTCTTTTTCTGGTAATCTATAATTGCTTTTTCTACTAATTCAGTTATTAAATAATCTTCCTCATAATTTCTAAGCAGCCCGCCAGTTATATTATATTTTATCCTATATCGTATCTTACCGTATCGTATCGTCTCTTATATATAGTTATCTAACTAACCACAACCACAA